CAGAGATTACAAAGAGACAACGGCGAGTCTCACTATTCCTTTTAGTTCTCACTGTGCCGTTCAGCCTCATAGCGCAGAGGCGACTATCAACTGGGATCCAGTCTAGTAGTGAGTTTTCTGCCCTGGTGCTTAATGCTATACCTACACCTGCAAGACCACGAGAGCTAGCTATCGAATCTCCAGAAACTCGAAGGGTGAATTTTGCAGATTCACCAGATTGGTCAGGAGAGGTCAGGTGAATAACCACACTTGGGTCCTGTATGCGTGTCTCACAAACACAGCACACATCCATGCCTCGAGTTGCTAGAGTCTTTGCCAACGAAGCCTGTTGGCCAATTTGACGGAGGGTGCGGACATTGAAGGCTCCAATATGTAATTTGGAGCGTGGTTTAAGGAGACCAGGGATGCTGTTCTGTGGACTCAGATCGTTGTCGAAGGCTGCAGAGGTAGGAGAAATTGAAGATGATGCAGCATCATTAATTAAGAGACGTGAAGGAAGATTAGAAGGTAATGATGGAGGAGGAGGATAGCAGTCAGAAGAAACTTGGGTGCTGACAGAGTTGTGAGGGCGGTTGACACTTCCCGGCTGCCCACACCGTGGAAGGCTATTTCTTCTTAAGGTACCTGAAAGAGATTTGTGTGACCGCAGAGCCCATCGGACATCTGCTTGAGGCCTGTCACACCCAGCCTTTTGAGTATGATTATTTTGAACTTTTGTATTTTTGGGGCCGGATGATCGAAAGGAAACGACAAGTGAACCAACACCGCCGGCCCGGCAGACCGTGGGGCGTGGTGGAGTGTGTTATTTTTGGGGCCGACCTTTTCTAACCCCCCCTTCCACTGAGAAGGCAGCATCAGCATGGCACTGCTGGTCATCCAAGGGAAACACCTTACTGCTGTCACACCCCATCCAGCTAGCAGCAGTACGACTTCGCCCTCAGACCCCCATCATAGTGTAGCAATTTACACTATAACGGTAACTGCTTTTCGTCTAACCACTACCCAACAGACCTTTCTGGTATGGTAGGACCTCGAGGGAACAAGCGTTCCACCAGCATAGCTCGTTGGGTCATTGTGATATGCAAGCCCGACCACCACGTCAAGGTAGCAGCTATCGGTCGGGTTTGACTGGTCTCAATCACTGATTGTTCCAGTTTTCAAGGAAGGCGAGAAGTCCACTCGTGCTAACCACAGGGGAATCAGCCTGATGGGCATAGTGTCTAGGATTCCAGGTTCGATAATAATCAGATGTGTATGTGAAGCTCGGGAACAGCAAACCTGAGAAAATCAAGCAGGCCTCAGACCTGGTCGTGGGTGTACTGACCAGATATCCATCCTCCACCAGGTTTTGTAACACAGGCATACTTAACGACTCCCGACACTGGTTGTAAAGGCGGCATTCGACTATGTCGATCGAGGGGCCTTATGGTTGTGTCTCTCACTGAAAGGGGTGGCGAGTAAGTACACCATTGCTGAAAGCTCTGTACTCGAACACCCGTGGGCATGTTAGAGCCTATGGTGAGTTGTGCACGTCGAGTGGTGTCTGTCAAAGATGTCCACTCTCTCCATTCCCCTTCAGATTTATCACTGACGTACTTATAGAGGTCTCCCTCTCGTCATCTGAATCTATAGTGGTTGGTCTTGTTACAGGAGAATCCTTGGTAGAATTAGAGTATACAGATGATATAGTCCTTTTAGGTGAAGATGCTGACAACATTCAGAGTCTTCTGGACACCTTGAGTGACGATTTGAGAATGTTTGTGATGCTCTTCTCACCATTTAAATGCGAATTTTGGCTCCAGGACTGGTCTTAACTGGTGCCTCCCTCGTTCAACAATAGGGAGTGCAGCGGTTGAGCGTGCTGACTGCTCCACATATCAAGGAAGTCGGATCAGCCTTGGTGGGTCAGTCAGTGACCAACAAAATCTCTTCTCAGGTACAAAAGGCTCGATCAACTTCCGCCAACTTACGTCATTTAAGGCGCCGTCGTGATATCCGATTGTCTATTAAGCGTCGACTGTACTTCGTTCGCTTCAGTTCTACTGTGTGGTTGTGAGACAGATGGCCATTAAAGGTAGAGGATCTGAAAAGGTCCCGATTGTTTTACTCCTGTTGCTTTCGTAGCATAAGCCGTGCGTCTTGGTTTCACTGTGTCGGTAATGCAGAAGTGAGGTGTAGAGTTTCGATAGGAGGGGAAGGTAGGTTGATGGGGTTGTGAACGTTCATCGACTGACTCAGTTAGCTGGGACATGTGTTACACGTGCCTGGTCACTGTCTGCCTCGTCTCACAATGTTGACTGAAGTAGGTTTAAGTTAGAAAAGGTTAGTGGCGCCCAGACTAAAATATGGCATCATTGCATGAAGTGTTTGACTGTAGCTCTGAGTGGTGTAAGGAAATGTAGATTTTTCCGTTTGATTCTGCGTGAAATCAGAAAGTAGTGGTTGGAGACTCTATGTGACATGGTTCACAATCGATCTCAATGGCCCGTATGTATCACGACATTATCCTCGTCTTAATCACCATACTGGGCACAGTATTTTCTTATTCCTCCTTCCTATCGTTTACTACTCTCTACTGTTTTTGACCGATACTTCTTTGTTTCTCTATCTTCCATCTTAGTGCTTTATCGCTTGATATCGTGATATGAGGTGTGGGAACACGGATGGTTGTTCAGTAATGTCCGGTGTTATGTTGGAGTGTGTTGTGAAGAGAACTTGTCTAAGCCTGTGGAGTTATTAAATTTCGGTTAGTAATCGAACGCTCGTACTGTTTGATTATATATCTATATTTGTTGGACATCCCTGTTTAGGACGTCAATACTTCGCGAAAATTAATGGCATTTCTAACATTGCATTACCTACCGCTGCAAACCTTATGGATTATTATTTTTATCAGAGTTGTTTGCTGTCAAAATATCTTTTGTCCTTGTACTAATAATGAAAATTGAGAATCAGAGGCAGACTTGTGAGCATACAATAGCTTTTATTTGGTCAGTACATCACAAAGCGCATACGTTTTTTATTTTCTAGTTATTTCCATCTCTAATGAGGAGGGTGGTCAAAATGAACCAACAGGGTTTGCCAGTCTGTTAAAGGAATATCTTAATCGCTATGAAGATGAAACTGTCATTATGGAAGTCCAATTTCCACACGATAAATTAATCAAGTCTAGGTTGTGGAAAGACTTCCGATCAAACTTTACTCTTACTTCTAAATACCTTGAGGATGTCAAGTAAGTCTGACCTTTCGTTTATAATGTATATTTTTTGTCATCTTAAATGCATGTTAGACCAACTTTTACGCAAAAGTTTTGATATGCACTTGTCACCTTCGATTATTTTGTAGATTACAAATTCATATTATAATGGCATGCATGGATACCTGTCATTGTTACTCCATTATTAGGACTATTACTCTCTTATAGTGGAATTTATGTTGCTGAAGTGAGCTATAGCAAGTTGAAGGTAAACAAATCGATCCAGTTATTCGAATGAAAATATCACGAAATATGGAGTTTGATTTCTCCAAAAATTTGTCACACAAAAGATAAACGTGTCTCACAGACTTATGCAGCGTAGGCTTTCAGTTTTGTTGTGATCTACTTCGACCCCACTGGGATATTTATTTCTTAATTTCAAAAACAGTAGTCTTATAACTAATCAATTTTATGATTATCAACTGGTAAAAAATGCTGAGTACGAGAATCCTTTTTGATTTGACAGAATTTACCAGTGTATCACAGTGGTCTTTAGTGGTCACGTTATGCGTAGTCTTTGCTAATTGTAAACCATTCCATCTACCAGTAAAGTAGGTTGAAGATAGGGAATCCTAGGACAATAGTTTTAGTAGTTATTTGAACGGAATATGATTTGAGTTTCACTGATTGCACCACCATATTCCGGTGTAGCTAAAGGGATAAAGTAGCAACTTCGGTCTTCATAAAAGAAAAGTCGAAGCGGTATGCTTCCGAATTCAAACAATTTTTTCTGACTTTCCCACTCACGAACCTGATCAGGCTGACTTAATATATGCGGATTGTTTGCAGTAGTCAAAATGCTTCAAACAGCTCACCTCCTAATACGAAACAGTTTTAAATTGCTATTTTCCAACCATAGATGCTATCATGAGATATAATATCAAACAGCCTTAATAATTAGAAGCACGCCTACAAAAGTGAAGAAATTGAATAAGTTGATAATCAAACTGTAATCATGACATTCATTTCTATATAGACCTCAGAATCAAAATCTGACCTGATAGAATTAAATAAGCAGAGGATTGGCAAATGGTTTATAAAGGAGATATATTTTGCAAGTCGCAATGAGGCAGAAAGTTAAATTTCTGAGACTTTGCAACCTTGTGGGAGCCGCTTCTTCTTGTCACAAGGTCGACTTTGACGATAGTGAAATTATTCAGAAGGCTTTGGGAATTTTCCGGGACATCTCATAGCAGAATTTCTTTACACTTAGTGGAATCGAAATTTTCTAAATAGGAAAGAGGATATAAAACATAACTTGATCTGGTCCCAACCCAGCAGCCCGTATAAGTACAAATCTGCAATTCATACACTTATCGCACACAAAGACATCTTGGCTCAACAATTTGACGGCGCAGAATCATCCATCCAAAAGAACTAATATCAATTTATGACAGATAAGCTTGGATAGTGTAAATTCTGGTTTAATATAACTATGACAAAGACATTAGCATTAATTAGCGAGACGTCAGTTGAAACTAATTCATTTTGTTTCATATTCATTAAGAAATACAAATGCCAAAATTTTCTCAAACCATTAAATCTCAACTTGATGTTGATACCCATAAACATATACAAGTTATCTCATTCTCTTCTTGTAAACAAATTTATTGATATGACTAGAATAGTAACATTAATTAGCCATCAATTCCGCGTTTTAAATCATTCTTCGTGTGTTTTTTTTTGTCAATAAAAATAGCTGTCTTAACAAGGCTAACCAACCAATCAAAATATATACTGTTATTTAAGTATTACTTACCTCATTGAAAAAATAAAATGCTGGTAAAAAGTTACCAGTTAATGCGAGAGCGCAGGAAAGCACACAAAATCCCACTGAGTACGAATAAAACAACTGAAATTGAATTCAGAAAAAGCAATAACGGAATAAAGAAACACAGTTTTGGAAGAAGTGGTACTGTTCGAGAATTCCATAAATTAGTTATCAATCGTAATGTGATGTGTCAGAATCGCTTTCTAAATATTTTGCAGCTTAAACGTAAGCCTCACTCTAACGTAGTAACTGTTAAAGCCAGAACAAGTGTTTAACTGTAAACACGTGAAGAAAACTAGTTGCAATCGGCTCAATTTCATGTTCGTAAAATGAAGTACTTGACTCCAAAACGATAGGTAATTGAGACTGATAGATAAAACAATTAGGGTAGATTCCATGCAGGTTTGTCACGCTTTTTCGCTTTAAAGTGAAATCAAATGAGCCGGAATGGAAGGGCGAATCAGCGACAGAAACCATTTCCCATTTGGTTAAAACTTTTAGCAGTTTATGTATAATGTCAGGAAGATGTACTCAAAGTAGAGATAAAAAGCAACTTTAGTCTGTCATATACGAAGTTTGGGGGTGTTCTCAAATGTTCCCACTCATAGCTTGTAACTATCATAGCTTACCTACCTAATTTTACTAGTTCCATACTTGTATTATTTCCTTTCATTTACTGTTGAAAAGTTGAGGTGAGATGGAAGTTCGCATAGTGCTAGCAGGTGGCTAACTGACTGGAACATAATAAGGCCTCAGTGATCGATATGACTGTTTCATATGCTTTTCTACAGGTCAGTACTGTGATGGGGAATTCATTATAATCACATGTAACTATAAAATGAATGATATATGCCTCAGTACATCACAACCAGTGAACAGCTTAACTGCATAATACAATGAAAAGGTATAATGATCCACCTAATGTACGGTTAGGATATGACTAAATGCCTGCTCTTGACAAAACTAAGCTCAATTCGGCTATCTACGTGATAACAATTTCAAAATTTCTTACTCTTAAACTGAAAAAGATCAACTGTTGGTTGATATCATATCGTAAGATGAAACAAAGGTTTAACGATAATCCATGACCAAACAAAACTATTAAGAAAGATGCATTACACCCAACGAATGACAAAACAATGATAACTGAGTGTTACTAACTAGCTCACAAATCTCCGACTATAAGTTACTGCAAAGCAAATTTTTGTAACAAAAACAGTACGTTAGACTTGATTTTCTGCTTAATCATTGTGGAAAAATTTCCATTTAACTTCAGTAAGACGAATTACTTAGCAATAATTATTACTTCAGGACATATCATGAGCGACAAAACTACTGAAAAACTTGAGCGGGTAGAAACTGTTACGATTTGGAAACTGCTATGACCGCTAACGATGCACGGATATTTACTGTCAGTCACCAACATTCAACAAATTCCTAGCTGATTCTCGACCTGACTAATTAATGGAGAAGACATGATGCATGTGTAGCAACATGTACTGGGGTCGAAAGAGCGAAGACAAGAACAAAGGAAAATAAATCAAATATATAAATAGTTCGCTGTTTAAAATAATACTATTGATTGGCTGATCCATTGTCTGTCTAATTATAGAAGTGATAAGATAAAGTACATTTTGATTGGTCCCTCTACAAACTAGTCTTTTCACTCTATTCCCATATAACCTATTCGAAAGTATGTCATTTGGGGTCAGACTGTACAGCATTATCTTTTCTCCCACCTATCTGACCGACTCAGAAGTTTCTCCTTGCTTACTGGGGGATCGGTAGTCTCCTCGATATTCTAACGGCGGACAGGTGCATAAGCATAAAAATCAGCTATCAAACCAAGAGATTTACCTACCGATCGAGAACGAGATCTGCGGCGGTATCTCGAGGATGACCCTAGGTACACGTCGTTTTGTGCTTTGGCGGCATTACGGTCCCGGCATCGATATTGTTTACGTGGACAAGATTTAAAGAAATGCCAGGCACCGCAATGCTAGTAAGGCGATGGTAATGTCTTCTTCGAAGGTCGGCTGGTATCGTATGAGTTACTGGGTCGATGAACAGGCGAGATACGGCCAGGGTGTGTGTGGCCAGAGGGTGATGCGAAGGAATGAGATATCTGGCGAACTGTATTTCAAAACCACCCTGGCGTTCGGACTGAGCTAAACTCATATCACGCTGCAGGCTGCCCAGTCGTTGAAATTCTGTAGACATGTCCGAAACCAATCAGGTTGATCGATAAATTTCGCCAGCCAGAGTGATCTACCTAAATGCCGGGCTGCCGTTTCGCTATTCCGGGGCGGAGCTCATTAGTGGTGTATCACGACAAATTCATCTCATACAACCAAATTAGTTTAGATCGCTTGAATCTGGTTAGCTGACTTGCATGGACCAGCATACCTAAAATAGGATGATCAATTTCTAAATGATATACAAATTCTACGGTTTATGTTGATATTTCTCACAGTAGAGTAGTTCGTTTATCTTTTTCCAACTGTGATTTCAACAAGGTTTCCGCTGGAAATTACTCAGCCAAGATCACAAGGTGAAATCTCTGACACAAAAGTGTCATGAACTAGCGAAAGATACTACTGCTGAACAACTTGAGTAGTTAGAAACCACTTAGGATGATATGTAGATTTCGCTGTTTAGTGTTAAGATAGATCACTCTTATCCGGCTGGTTGAGTAGTTTTTCAGCGGAAACCTTGTTGACAACACAGTTGGGCAGCTGAAGAAAAAGCTATTCAGATGTGATAAATGTAGACGTGGAGCGTCCAATTTGTATATCATTTGCAAATTGACCATCCTATTAAGTGATAAAAAATTGCAAGGAATTTAATTTGCATTAACAAGTCATATAAATACTGGATTGTTCACTCATTGTACGACATAGCAGCACTATACAATTAGGAAAACAGGTTGCTCTTTATAAATCGAAAGTTAGTTTGAGTGAAAAAGTGATGAGAAAGCTTTACGATACTAAATCATTCCAGTTCCTTCAGTTGTTCGATATTCAAGTAATACATTCAATTTTTCAACTGTTTCAACTGTTTTGGGCCCTGATTATGAATTTAAAAAAACAGTAAATCAATAATTCACGCATGAATTTATGGATATGTAAATCAACCTTGAAATGAACAGACAGACAAACAAAATCAACGTAGAACCCCGCAAACAAGTGCATCGGATCGAGTTGCCACACTTCATAGTTGAATACGAAGAACAAATGTATATGAAAGATTGATATCCAGTTAGAAAAAAGTGTATAGGAGGAGAGGGAATCAAAAAGTGAAGCTTAGTCAAAACATGCAAGCTTCAGAAGTCAAAGGGTAAATATATCTATCTCATTGTGGTCGATTCTCAGCCATATCACCAAGAGTCTTCAACCAATGATTCCTATCGTCTCGCGTACCACAGCCAGTTAGTCTGCATCTCTCTACACGATTCAGACCAACAGTCTCAGAATCCACGTACCATGCTGCTTTATAGTCTGACCACCATAAGTCCTCTTCCAACCAAATGAAACTTTCCCTAACATTGAACTTCGACGAAAATAGTGGCTCGGCATGCGTAACACATGTCTAAGCTATCTCAGTTGACTAAAGTTCACGATCTCACATATCGACTTGCCTTTCTTGCCTAGTACCCTACGCCTCACATCAACATTGTTCACACGATGATCCCACTAAACCCGAGAAATACTGCGAAGACACAAGATCAAAACCCTATAACTGCTTCATGTCTCCTACTTTTGACAGCCATTTCTCAAAGCCATGTAATAGGACGGAGAGAACAGCAGTGCAGCATACTCATTCTTTGATAGATAGTCAGATGTCTCACCAGTCGATGCCAAAAATGAAGTAAGTTTGCAAATCCTAAACAAACCTTTTACATCCGAGCTGAGATCTTGTCAGTAACCAGCCAATTCCTGCTGATGTAACTCCTCAGGTGAGTCAAGTGGTCGAATGCATCAACCTTGACTGTCTGTATTCACTCTCCCTAAACTGAAAGCAGTTGCAGACCAGTGCGGAAGGATCATCTCATATTTGATAAGTGCGAAAAGAAAGCTAACCAAACATACCCAAATTTCTGCTCAACGCGTTCGGAAGATCCTGGGTTTGTCAGCATCTTCACCCAGCAGGACAATATTGTCTACATACTCCAGGTCGCCCAGGTGACCTTCATGGAGTAGGTCAATCCCTGTGAAGTCAGACGTACCTAAGATTATGTCCATTAGCACGTCTACAACAAAGTTGAATAGGAAGGACTACAGTGGGCATCCCTGGCGGACAAAATTAGCTGTCGTCAGCTCACATGAAAAATCTCCATCAGCCCTTACATGGCTGCGTGAGTCCGAGTAGAGAGCTTTGATCAGTGTTCTATACTTTCTCGGTAATCCCTTTGCAGTCACACACTGCCGCAACACCTTACGGTCGACAGAATCGAGTACCGCCCTCAGGTCAACAAGTATAGCAATTGCCGGCCACCCGTATGTTTAGGTTCCTTGACCTGTCAAAAGATGGAAATCTGATCGATGCACCGTCACCTAGATCTAAAATCCTCCTGGTCCCCTCAAGCCCGAAATAAATGTCCGATAACTATAAACCCAGGGATCTTCGACGCGATCTTAGTCAAACTGGTTCCCTAATTGTTGTCACAAGAAGACTTTTCTCCTTTCTCATAGACTGGGATGATCGGTGAAGCCGATCAGTCTGATGAAACTACCTGTGATTCCCACACTATTTAGTACCTTTCAGTACTCTACTTAGTAAATTACTTCCCTTTTTCCTTAAAATCTCTGGGTGGCGAACCGCCGGGACCTGCTGTTTGCGTCGTTTCATGGTTGAAACAGCTTTTTTCAACTTTGAAGAGGGTTGAGGGGACTGATATTTACATTCTATTCAGGTTCTGGTTGGATGCTGGGTAACTGAAACGTTGCTGTGGACCAGAGGAAGTGTCTTTTGAAGTGTTTTTCCTGACGTTCTAGTCATCTATGCTGAAATGTTCTCAGGGTACCATACTTTTCAATGATGGTCTCACTCATCATCGTCTCGTTCTTGCCAATATCCTTAATAAGCCAAAATAGTTGCCAGGTATCACCTAGTGCACATGCCTTATCCATCTCTCTCTCTCTCTCTGTCTCAACACCTACCACTGGCAGCGATCATGGCGAAGACTCTTAATCAATTCACCTGTGATTTCCTTTTGTTTTTAATTTTGTTTAGAGTCAGATGGGATGAACCTGCCGGTATTAATCAGTTGGGATGACGTTGCGTAAATCCACTGACGTTTGCTTCCCCTCGGATGTAGGTCACCAACTGCCCATACTGCTGCTTCTATAGAAGACATAATATCACGCCACACCAGGTTTTCTAAGGATGAGGGTTGCTGTCACGTTCAAATAAATGCTTAGCTACCTCCCTAAATGCATACTTCACTTCCTCATCTTTTAAATAAGAACAATCAAACTTGGCTCCCACCTGTTTTCTGCAACCAATAAAATGCAGACATATACGTGCTCATACTAACAAGTGATCGGAGTTTAAACAGGTACTCCAGATAGAGCGGCAATCCTCCACCGATGGCTTATGGCAGTATGATCAATCTGTGTACAACGTTGGTGCTTTGCCTACACCAGCCAGTCCAAAAGATTGAGCCACTGAATCCCCGGACACTCGTGATGAGAATTTTGAAGATTTTTCCGCATTAGCCCGGTAAGGTCAGGTTAAAAACCATACTTGGATCCTTTCCATGTATCTCAGAAATACAGTATACATCTATGGCTCGAGATTCAAGAGTTCCAGCGAGAGATGCCTGAAATAAGGCCCAAAAAGAATTTATGCAAACCCACAAGGATGTTTGTAATCCCTAATATCACAAATGATTGTTTTTTCACATCCTTTAGAGTGATTTTCTGTTGGAAACTATAAAGCTAAGATCATAAAATGCGATCTCTGATCTCAAAGTACCATGAATAAATGAATTATATTACTGAGCAACATATCAAAACAGAGATTAATCACACTAATCTGAAGACTATGCTAGTTAGGTTGAAATGATCTAAACACCAAATGACACTTAACACCATAGTTAGTTAGTTTAAAAACTACTTATTTGTGAGAAATGTCAATGTGGTTCATGGAATTCCCAAATAATCTGCAAACTGATCATCCAGTTCATAGTATACAGATAAGCTAGTCAGATTCAGTTGATCTGAAGAACAAGACTGTGATTATAATTTCTCTCAGTTCACCTTTGGTAAGCTCAGTCCCAAACCAGTGAAACCGCTATCCTATGTTTAAGACCATGTAGATCTGGTTTGCGAAATCTGCAGATCAGAAAAAGTGCTACCTAACGGCTCGTGTTTTTCAGAGGCAGGAAACAGAAAAACACATTGTGCCTTACAACTTTTAAAAATAACCGTTTATTTTAGAAGTAGTATTAATCATGGACTGACATCAGTTGGGGAATCATTGAAAATCTGGGAGCACTGGACAGCTGTTTCGTCCTAGTATGGGACTCTTCAGCAACACTCATCCAGGACTCGGCTAGGGATCGGACTCAGGACCTCCAGGTTTCACGGCGAACGCATTAACCATTCAGCCACTGGTCGGTTGCCGGTGGTTCACAATTTCCAACTTCTGTTAATTCACGACATAGCGCGACTGTCACCCAAGGTCTTCAGTTAGCGTCCACTTCCGACTGGTTGACCCCACAGGTCACGGCTTCTCATTAGAACTTCCTGACATCCGTCTGGAACCAATTCACTAATGAGCACCATACAGTAATGCATTTTTGAGATGAATGGAGATTCTTAATTTAGAAGTAGTATTCATCATGGGTGCGTACTGCTGAGGAGTCCCATACTAGGATAAAACAGCTGTCCAGTGCTCCCAGATTTTCAATGGTTTCCCAACTGATGTCACTCCATGATGAATACTACTTCTAAATTAAAAATCCCCATTCATCTCAAAAATGCATAACCGTTTATTCTCCTTTCCATATCTGTATTAACTCAGGATATCGTCTCATATAGTAGATTATTTAATATCTCAAGTATAGTCAGAGCAAAATTTTACAACAACAAAAAACTCGTAACATTTATTCACAAACGTTTATCATCCTTCCATATGTTTAAGGTAAAGTGAAAATACTTAATCGGAGAAGTATTTCTGTTGACACGTACGATTGAGTAGGATGAGTGTTTAACGATTCATAAAATATAAAATATTGCTGTGGTAAAAAAAGAAACGATAATAGAATGCTAAGAAAATAGATAATCAAAAAAGACAATTTTTATGAGAAGCATTCAAGGAGATGAATTAATCAACATCAGAAAAAAAGGTGTGAAAAAGTAACTAGTGATGATTACTTGGACAGTGTTGATAACGTTTAACTTACAATCTCTGTATTTGATCTACCATACTTCTTCATGACGACTTCTTGAAAATTACCCAATGCTCCATCACAGCAGAGTGCTAACGAAACTAGGAAAAGTCCTATAGAAGGGGAATGAACAGGAGAATGCAAAACAATACAAAACTTGTTTATTTATTGCACAGTCATTCAATATCAAAATGGGAACCGAGTCATATTCATTAACCAGGTGCACGTTCATGCAGTAGGCAATGAGTCACACCTACTATGTGGGGGCTGATGATAATACCACCTGGCTTTCCACACCTCGGTAGGTGGAGCATGGTTTACACCGGTGATCCGGTATTACTGGATATCCATCCCAGTTGCCACAGCTCATATCAGCACATCAAGACACACACAAAAGACGGAAAGTGGAAATAATACAATCAGAAGTTGTGATGAAAATAGAAAATGAAATGTGATATGACGACTAGGATAAAGATAATATGTGAAAGCATCTGAACCACTGAGATATATTCTTTGCTATATCACCAGAAGTGCTCAATCATCAGTTTTGGTTGTCATACCCACACCAACCTAGAAGTTAACTTTACCTAACGTGGTTGAGACAGTCAGAGACTTCATGGTTAGGTACCGTGGTTTTGTCTGACTGTCTTTAATCTTTTTTTCAGCCTATATCCACTTAAGGTAAAATTTCACGACAGGACAGACGGTGACTGGACATACGTAATGTATGTAACAGCCATCTGAGTCGATGAAAGTTTACTTCATCAAATGACTTATATCTTTTGCCGAAAACTCTATGCTTGACCACTACATTACAAACATTGTAGTTCCACAACACACAGCTAGTTCTACGACGGCGGTGATAGATAAATACAACTAACCTCATTACGCCCCTGAAATCTTAATGGCCATATCTCAGATCCACTTAGTGGGAAAAACCTCACTGCTGCACACTGTACTCGAATGTTAGTATGTAATTTGATATCTCACCCGTGCAGTAGTATAGCACACGACACAATTTATAGTGTTAGTTCTATTTTTGATAACAAGATGTGTAAAACAGTAAAATGTTTCTCCCTTCAATTACTATAAGTAGGTGAAAAAAACGCCCCAGTGGTTTAATATCTGAAGCGACTTCTTATTTGCTTCACATGACACGGTCAAGTGACAAACATGTAATCAGATTTCCACTCTTTCCTCATAAGTTTAGAAGTTCCCAATAAGTCTTTTCTCATCCACAAAATACTGAACGCAAAAATGAAAGCTATTCTTATTATTGAATAGGTATTCCGTCAGTCAGTTAGTCAGCATCAACATGAGAAATTACACTACTACGTAACTCCAATCAAAACATAATAGGTTTTAACTGATAAAACAAGCTTAATCGATTTATCTATAACGAAATGTATAAATATTACAAAAATTCCCATTGAGTCATAAGAGAATTAAGACTTCCGCGAACAAATTTGTTATCAGCGATATTATCCTTTGTTATACAATCACACTGAAATATAGTTAGTATGTGCAAAAATGTCAATATTTGTTAATCACTAATTGTTAGTAGTTTATGGACATGAAAATAATGTAGCAATGGAAATTATTTTAAAAATAAGAAAATATCTGATAACGTGAGTAAAGTGAGTCGAAACCAAGAATTAAAGAATTTGTAACAAAGTGAGTAGACAGTTGTACGTGAACAAAGTAGTGAGAAATTTGTAACTGGGTTTAACAAAAACCATTGACATATAAACAACGTGAAAATTAGATTACTTAGGTATAAGCACTGAAAAGTTTAAGAAATAAGAAGTGAGTAGAGACAGGGAATGGTAAAGTTGCTTCTGCATCCACAATCTCAGTTTCAATTGTTGCATTGTTAAAGATTCAGCCATGCAAATTAAAAGTTCCCTCACACCCTTCGTAAGACTAGATTTTGCTTTGTAAACTAGTGTAAACGAATTTTTTGGAATTATCTGCTGTCAGCCAAATGTTGTACTACAGAGCTGTTAATTAATAAGCGCTGACCTTTACCAAGCCATGCTGGAAGGTGTTAGCACGGAAGCATGAAATCTGTCTTTGAATACGGCCTGTATACCTAGGTGTACAAGCGCAAATAAATTGATATATGCACATTGAAGTAGCCAGCACTGGTAATTCGTCTTTTGCACATGTATTCGCCATTGAGCAATTTACAGAGTGGATGTATAGAAAGTGTTTTTTGGTAGCTTTCGTTAGTCTAGTTTTAGTAACTCATCTGTCTAATCTCTACTGAATTTCCACCTCAAAAAATAGCTTTTTCTCCTTTACAATGATAGGATATTGATGGGTAGTATTCCGATGCAGATTCCCATCTATGAGTCTCTCTGGGTATCCATTTCTGATGAACATTGATGCTGGAAGTGAAAATCCTTCGGATTCGAGATGGAAAGGGATAAATTAAATTTCTTTTACAACTGATAGAAACTTATCTGTGGAAGTTTGTCATTAATCTATTCCACGTATATCTTCGATAAGTGTATCTTTTAATTGTTTTATCATCCCTTCATGTAAAAAATACGTCGAGGAATGGTACCTTTGAGCGTCATCTTATCTCCACTGCAAAGTTGATCGAGGAATGACATTCATTGAAGAACCAGTATTCTTTTCAAAGACAGTAAATATATCCCCGGCATATCTTCTTTCGAATTTAAACTGATTGGTGACTGGGTTGAGTATGGTTGTTTTCAGTTTGGCCATAAATAAACCTGCTACCGGTGGACCCAATGTTGATCCCATTGCCACTCCATATCTCTGGTGGTAGGTGTTATTAGCAAATATTGACATTTTCATGCACACTATGTGTGAATGCTGCTGTACAGCTACGGAGAATGATATCCCTGAAAACAAGTTTTGCTCACTGAATGTTTAGATGTTGAACATAAAATACGGATTGAGTGAAGAGTTATTTCTTCGCAATTAGGTATTTGAAATCAGCTCGACATCAATATGCTTTAAAATATACTAGGTACACAATATACCATTAGGTGGAGGTGGGTTAATTCACTAAAATGATTACAATTACCCATAAAGTTAAAAATTAGTGAGATGGAAAGTGATGAATATGGTAACTACATGGAATTGCTAGACGAGTAACAGGTTGTTAATTCACTGACTGCATGGCAATCACCGTGCTAAGTGAAAAACTTGCGGCAAGTGGTTACATTCTAACAGAAAAGAATTAAGTAAGAATAAATAGATAATATGAGCTGAACAGGAGAGAGGGGTCACTTCGTAATAAATGTCACTCTACTGGAAGAATAAGAGATAACTGGAAGTCAGATGTTAATTTATTGACGACCAACGTAAAAACATGGGCTGAACAAATTTATTCTGAATACAAAGATTTGGTTTGTAGATGCGTATATTAATTTCTTGTTGTTTATATTGAATGGTATACTATAAAAACTGAGTCTGATCACTTTATGACCAGTATCTACAAAATGTATAACCAATGAGCTATTTACTGTCGTTATTTTCTGCCACTCGGCCACGATGGATGGCATTCAGATATCCTACGATGGACTTGCCTAACTGAATCCCCTGTATATCTAATTCTACAACAGCAGCTAAACCAACAACTGCACAGAAACAATCAGGAAATCTATCTTCACACTCTGCACCTATAGTTAGCCCATTTTAGAAGATAGGACATAGCTCTGTAGCACTAGATGTTCTCTGGAGGGCGCTCCTCAAACCTTACTTTATAATGTCGCTACATATATAGTCACGTCGACCTCAATAGTGTTATCCAACTACTGCATGCAGGTTTGTATACTGAGCGGAGAGACAAACTTATTGAGAGCTAATGATACTACTTGGTTCCTCAGACGTACGCAGATGGAACCGATTGCGAACGCATGACCCACAGAATTAAATTTAAGAAGCACACATGTTGCACGAACTCACAAAAATGTAAGGACTAGTTAACGTTAGTATTCTTGTAAGATTTAACCTCGGAGTTTTCTAACGATCTTAAAAACTGTTTATGTTTTATATGCCTAGAGAATGGTCGATCACATCAATGAAAAGAATGCAATTGGAAAACATAAGAAAACATACCACCGTGTTCTAATTCACTACTGAGTGGTGCAGATTTGGGTCTATAAGAGAAAATTAATCCCCTGAAGATTCGAGATACAACTGAATGATGAGACATCAAGTTATAACTGAGGCAGTCAGAAGTTCAAAACCATTACTGTGAATTCAAAAGAAGTACATGCAGACTTTCTGCTATCGTCATCGCAACGAATGGACATTCCAGATGATTTTTTGTGACGTAGTGATACTATTTTCCAATAATTAGTTTATTTCAATCTCGAGGTTTGTGGAAATTTATTAGTTGATTTCAGGTTGTGACTCATAATGGACTGACATCAGTTGAAGTAACATTGGAAACCTAGGAGTACTGGACAGCTGTTTTGTCCCAGTATGGGACTCCTCAACAGAGCGCACCCACGACCCCACCCCACCAGGGATCAAACCAAGGACTTCCAGATTTCACGGCCAGCACCTTACCATTGAGCCACTCGGTCAGAATCTAATAGTACATATTTTCTACTTCTGTTAGTTCACGATTAGTGCGACCTTCATCCAATGTCTTCGTTGAGTAACTATCTTTATGTTCGACTTGGTTGGCTCCACTGGTCACGACTTCTCATTGGAACCTCAGGAATCACCTTTGGAAGCTAGTCACCAATAAGCGATAGATTAAATTCGATCAGGAGGCTTGTAGAGATTTATTAGTTGATTTTGGGTTGGAATCCACAAAGTTCCAATGAGAAGTTGTGACCAGTGGAGCCAACCAAGTCGAACATAAAGATAGTTACTCAACGAAGACATTGGATGAAGGTCGCACTAATCGTGAACTAACAGAAGTAGAAAATATGTACTATTAGATTCTGACCGAGTGGCTCAATGGTAAGGTGCTGGCCGTGAAATCTGGAAGTCCTTGGTTTGATCCCTGGTGGGGTGGGGTCGTGGGTGCGCTCTGTTGAGGAGTCCCATACTGGGACAAAACAGCTGTCCAGTACTCCTAGGTTTCCAATGTTACTTCAACTGATGTCAGTCCATTATGAGTTGCAACCTGGAATTAGTTTATCTATCCCATTTCATTTCCATCCAAATTACGCAACGTCGATTTTATTATACGGATTATTTCGACTTCTAATCTGAAATTATTCCAGAACAATTAACTTTTCCAAGCTTATGTTCACGAATGCGTAAGAAAATTTACCTGTGGGAAAGAAAAATCCTTTTTTGCGGAGATTCTTATTTGTGTTTGTGAATACATATATTATTCAGACCTGGTTCAAAGGGACTGATTTTGGATAAGAATGACTAAGGGGGTGGAAATGATTCACAGACCAAGACTTTTGAAAGTGTAGATATGATCAGAAGACGCCGACAGAAGATATAAATTAGAGGCAAATGAAGATGATATTTCAGCATTAATAATGTGATGAGCAACCAAAATTTTTATGACAACACTCTAAGAAATGTTCCCAATTTACATGGTCATATTGCAATAAATTGTGGTATGTGATGCCCCATGGATATAAAATGATTTCAACCCACAAAACAAATCACCAGTCTCATATTCGTTTCATTTCGATTATTAGTGGACTTAAGACCAACAAAGGAGTTAAGTCCTAGATACAAGCTTTCACCAAAGGCTCGGCTGTCTTTTGTCAACCTACGCCACCTGTGGCGCCACCGTGATATCCCATTGTCTATTAACGGTGGCGTGTACTGCACAGCAGTCCGCTCTGTTCTACTCTATGCCTGTGAAACATGGCCATTCAAGGTGGAAGACATGAGAAGGCTGGCTTCAAGTGTTTGACCACCGTTGCCTTCGTAGTATAGGCCGTTTTCCACAGTGTCACCACTTCAGTAACGCTAAACTCAGGAGTAGAGTTTTGAGGAGAAGAGGTAAATCAGTTGACACGATTGTGAACCTTCATCTACTGAGATGGTTGGGACACGTATCACGTATGCCTAGTTGTCGATTGCCTCGTCGCACAATGTTGGCCGAAGTAGGTTCAGACTGGAGAAAGGTCCGAGGTGGCCAAACTGAAACATGGCATCAAGCTATGATGTGGTTGAGTGTTGGTTTCAGCCATGTGGGGTGATGCAGACTAGGTGGTTGAGGTCCACAGGACAAGAGGAACCAGTGGTTGGAGACTCTAGGTGATGGCATGCATGGCTGAGAACCGATGTCAGTGGCGCAGATGTATAGTATACACACATTATCCTCACCTTAACGACGCTATACCGAATCTCACCACTTTCTCATTCTTCCCTTCACTTTTTCGTACTTTATATTTCTTTTGACTGAATTTTCTTATCTTCATCTTGCACCTCACTGCCTTTTTACTTGATGTACTGATATGAGGTGTGGCAACTCAGACTGTTAAGGAGTAATGTCTGGTCCTATGTTGATAGATGGTGATGATGATGATGATGATGACACGCTTTGACCCCATCACCTTCGTGACTCTTCATCCCATTAGTTCAGTAAACAGTAATTCTGCAACAGGCCATAGAATGTGCAGCTATATGGAAGTGTTTCGAGAGTAACAGAGTAACAAGAAGCCTTGTAAAAAGTAGTTGAGAGAATCGCAGATATTACCGCTCCAAACGGTTTCGATTTTCTTTAACAAGAACAAGGTATGTATCAGTGAAGAAATATTCCTTTTCAACGACTTCATTATTAAGCTGTACAGTCGTATTTATACTCGGTAAAGTGACAGATAATTGCACTAAAAAGTTGCTCAGTCAATAAACAAAACGTAGTTCTTCATATATACTAGGTGTTTAATGGCCAAGTGAACCCAGTTTTTTTTACAAGCATATGCATAGCATCTTTTATGCTACATGAATGGTCTTTCGGCAGTTGACTAACAAACAAATAGAGAGGCATGTAAGACATTAAAAGTGTGAACAGTATAATTCTGGATAGTCAACAATGACAACTCACCGAAGAAAGTGAACTTTGGTTGTATAGACACGTCAACCAGGGTAAAACAAATCAGACCCAGTGTCATCATAAGGACCGCCACAGTTTCGTAAAACGAATACATTTTCCCTAAAAAGTAGTCGAATGAATGACGTGATTCGCTCTACCTTGTATAACTACTCCACCCAGCAAAACGGGTATCATTTTACAACATTTAAATATAACCTGAGTTGGATAGTTTAAGAAGCCAACTGAGGCGTTGGAAAGTGCGATTGAACCTAGTGTCAGCAGAGCTATAACAGCGTAGAGGTGAATCCATGAACTAAATAGGCAAATGTACAAATCAAATCCACCGAAAAACAAAACTCACCTGAATATTAAGTAACCTTGTGCGCGTAGCTCAAAATATGACAAAACTGCATATATTCCGAATTGATATAGAGTAAGAAATGGACTGTACGACCGTAGGTCATTGGCAGTGAATATCGCTTCCTGAAATAGAAAACACAACCTGAAACAGGATTAGTTAATCAACAGACTGTATTTGATGTGGTTGACTTAATTGACTTGACTGATTGCCAAATCTGACCTGACGTTACGTAACTACATTTCGGGCACGACAACCAAATATTTTGCTTTGCAATGACTGAGGATAGATAGAAGAAGAGCATCGACACATGAATGATACGTAGTTTTAAAACTAGCGTTGTTATAGTCTTATTTACAGAAACTTCAGCGGGTGAAGTACTGCCTACGGGCGAAAACTCTATTTTAGGCATAATGCAACACATTAAAATATACCTCATACTAGTTTATCTTTAGAGAAATAATGAGAAGAATGCGTTACATAGTGAAGGTGTACAACTTCCTTACGGTTAATAAAACTTAAGTTACACGACTCATGTCAAGTCACTGAATTATAATGCCGTAAGGTTAACGGCAAAAGGATACTGTAGGTCCCCCTAATTTAAACTGTGGTCATTCTAAAGCCTGTGCCACTCAATCGTGAAAATATTTAAAATTAAACGTCCTTTACTAAACATGAGAATTTAAAGCCTACACAAAATTGTTAAGTTACAATCGCATAGCGTGTTAACAACAACTTTAGTGCAGCCATCGCACTGTTATTTTGGTACTTATTCTCATTTTATAGCCACGGTAAATTTGAGGTTTGTGCGCTCCACATTGAAACAAATACTGACTGAATGCCAGAGTCGTCCCATTTCTTCGATAGCCTAGGATAACACATCATATCGCTCATCCAAATTTCGAGCACCCCTGAATTCTATATTGAACTGATTAATCTTGTTCCGGAGACAAAATATGAAGATAATGCGGCGACTAAATTAAGTCGCCACATTGCGAGGACCCTTATAAGCGTCCTCGCAATAACAATGTTTTTAGTAGAAAACAGTCTATGAGACATCATCATCATCATCATTATCAACATAGGACCAGGCATTACTGCGTAACGGTCCGAGTTGCCACACCTCATATCAGCACATCAAGTAAAAAGGTAGTGAGGTGAAGGATGAAGATAAGTGAATGCAGTCAAAAGAAATATAAAGTACGAGAAGAAAGGAAAGAGGAGTGACAAAATAGTGAGATTCGGTATAGCGTTGTTAAGATGAGGATAATGTGTGTATACATCTGCGCCACTGACTTCGGTTCTGAGCCATATCACCTAGGGTCTCCAACCACTGGTTCCTCTTGTCCCGTGGACCCCAACCACCTAGTCTGCATCGTCCTACATGGCTTAAACCAACAGTCAGAGACTTCATACATTGGTGCCATGTTTTAGTCTGGCCACCTCGGGCCTTTTTCCAGCCTGAACCCACCTCAGCCAACATTGTGTGACGAGGCAATCGGTGACTAGGCATACGTAGTACGTGTCCCAACCATCTCAGTCGATGAAGGTTCACAACCTCGTCGACTGACTTACCTCTTCTCCCCAAAACTCTACACCTAACTTCTGCATTACTCACATGGTGACACCACGGAATACGTCCTATACTACGAAGGCAACGGTGGTCAAACACCTGAACCTTTTTGTATCTTCCACTTTCAATGGCCATGTTTCACAGCCATACAGTAGAACAGAGCGGACTGCTGTGCAGTACACGCGACCCTTAATAGACAAACGAATATCACGGCGGCGCCATAGGTGGCGCAAATTGGCAAAAGCCAATCGAGCCTTTTGTATCCGTGCAGAAATCTCATCGGCAACTAACCCACCAGGGTTGATCCTACTTCCCAGGTAAGTGAAGTGGTCAACACACTCAACCACTTCACTCTCTATTGTTAACCGCGGTACCGCTGAAGACCAGTCCTGGAGCAAAAATTTGCATTTGGGTGGTGAAAATCGCATCCCAAACATTCTCAAATTCCCACTCAAAGTGTTCAGAAGACTCTGCATCTTGTCAGCGTCTTCACCTAACAGGACTATGTCATCTGCATATTCTAGATCTAAGGAAAATTCACCTGTGATCCGGTCAACGTCTTTGTAATTAGGTGACGAGAGGGAAACCTCCATAAGAATATCTATGATAAAATTAAATAAGAATGGGGATAGTGGGCATCCTTGACGGACACCACTTGATGAGTATAGCTCCCTGGACAACTCACCATAGGCTCTAACATGCCCACAAGTGTTCGAGTAGAGAGCTTTCAATAAGGTGATGTACTTACTAGGCACGCCTTTCAGTGACAGACACTGCCATAAGACTTCTCGATCAACGGAGTCAAATGCCGCCTTCAGGTCGAGAAATACAGCTATTGTCGGGCGTCTGTAAGCATGCCTATGTTCCAGGACCTGGCGCAGTGTGAATATTTGGTCGATACATCCACGGCCAGGTCTAAAGCCTGCCTGGTTTTCTCGGGCTTGCTGTTCCCGAGCTCCACTCAGGCGTCGGAGAATTATAGAACTTAGGATCTTAGACACTATGTTTGTCAGGCTGATTCCTCTGTGGTTATCACAAGAGGACTTCTCGCCTTTCTTGAAGACTGGGATGATGAGTGACTTAGACCAGTCGGAGGGGATCGTATTTGATTCCCATATACGTGTGACAAAGCGTTGTAAATTTCATTTACAACGCTTTGTCACACGCATAGTTCATGGTTTGTGACACTTTCTATCTGCTGAAACCATATATGTAGAGTACGGTTGGCAGTCACTATCTGGTTGAATTCACAAGCCTATGGGTCAGAACTTCAATGAAAGTTCCAAATCTATTCGTTGTCGTCGTATATACTCTCTAACGAGATTGATATACCAAAGCTAAAACAATTATCGGCGAAAGTGTGCAATCATTTCTACGGTTAAACCCGTTGTTATATTAGTATGGTTAAATTTTATGACCTGGTGTGACAGATAACGTAAACGAGCACAAACGATAGAAATAATCTGAACGACCGAATCAAAAATCTACACCCTCAAAAATTGGTGTCCAAAAAATATGAACTTGTGAATAATTACCATCCACGCAGAACGTAATTAGTACGAACCAGATGCAGAGTTTGAGCATTTTCGGATAGAATAAAGATATTTTAAAACACGACTGACTCTAAATTAACCCTAAGAATCCGAGAAATATGCATATTTCCGGGCACTTTGAGATAATTACAGGCAGGTTCGAATGATTCAAAAGGAGCAGGCTAAAGAAAGTGAATATCAATATTGGTCGCAGCCGGCAAACCATTTGGGAGTACTTTGAAATTTTCGAGTAAAAAATGGCACAGAAAACATTGGGATTTATGCCAAGGCATCGTCGGTCACGAATTTACCAGACATTCTTCCCGAAAATTCCAAAATTATCAAACTGCATCCAGAGTTTAGCTCAAACCTCCCAAAGTTTTAACGTCAGTCTCATACGCATGAGACGGTATCGCCATATTTCCCCAAAACTTAGCAAGAGACTGCACATTAGTTATCCCAAGACGTTTCCAATCTAACCTTAACTAGGAATATGCTTATATAAATCTGGGTACAATTAACCGAAATATGACATTTAGATGTGTGGTACACCAACGAACCTGTAGTGCTCCGAAACATATGTACAAAACGAAAATCCCTGAAATACATACAGCCAGCCTACAATTTAGTGTAAGACTGGACATGTTGAATCCAAGTATATATATGTCATCACTCTTATGTAGATGATAAACTTTGACTTGACCATCCTGCCCTTCCATTTTATGTAAGGTCATTTAAATCGACTTAGCCCGCTTCATTCGTACTCGTGCCAGGGTCGGCCTAAAAACTAAATGCAGCAGTGCGAGTTAACGAAACTATTATTTTCTAAGCTCTTGTATGTAGGCTTTGTTCTAGTTGCTCTGTTTTGCTTATGACGTAGGCAGAAGAATTTTACATAATTTCTTTGATGAGATTAGTGGCTTATGAGGGTTTACGTTTCCGATCTGCAGATTGGGTTGTTTACGAAGCTGAAAGTTGCTGAGAAGATCTGGGGTATTTGGGGACTCCTACATGGGTTCCTAATTGACAATTTGGGAAAAGAGGGGAGATATATGTGATAAAAGACGAAGAATAAAGTTACATACCATAGGTGTAGTTACTAT